GCCCTGTCCGCCTCAGCTGACCACTGCAAGCGCACCGGACCCCCCTTCAGAAGAGACGTTATGGGAGCTGCCACCTGTCCAAAACCCCGGATAAACCTCCGGTAGTAATTCGCAAAGCCCAAGAACCGCTGCACCTCTTTAACCGTAGTTGGGCTTTGCCAATTACGCACGGCGGACACTCGGTCCACCTCCATTCTCACCCCTGACGCAGACAACTGGTAACCCAAAAAGGAAACTGACTCCTGGAAGAACAGACATTTCTCAGCTTTGACATACAGGTCATGCTCCAACAGTCTCCTCAATACCCTGCGCACCAGGGCTACATGCTCGGCCCGAGTAGCACTGTACACAAGAATATCATCTATGTACACCACTACTCCCTGCGCCTGCATGTCCCGGAAAAGTTCGTCTACAAACGATTGGAAGACTGATGGAGCATTCATTAACCCATATGGCATGACGAGATACTCGTAATGGCCGGAGGCAGTACTAAATGCTGTCTTCCACTCATCGCCCTCCCTAATGCGCACCAAGTTATATGCGCTCCTGAGATCCAATTTTGTGAAGAACCTTGCCCCGTGTAAGGACTCCGTCATGGTCCCAATCAGCGGGAGTGGATAACTATATTTCACCGTCACCTGATTGAGACCGCGGTAATCAATACACGGACGCAAACCTCCATCCTTTTTCTTCACAAAAAAGAAGCTCGAGGACGCGGGAGAAGTGGAGGGCCGTATGTATCCCTGTCTCAGAGACTCGGCAATGTAAGTTTCCATTGCCCTTTTCTCCTCCTGTGACAAAGGATACACATGGCGCCGCGGAAGCGCTGCTCCTGTCTGGAGGTCTATCGCACAATCCCCCTGTCTATGAGGTGGCAACTGTGCCGCTCTGGTTTTACTAAACACGAGCGCCAAATCCTCATACTCAGGAGGAATGTGCAGTGCTGGCATCTGGTTCGGACTCTCCACCGAGGTCGCCCCTACGGAAACACCCAGACATAACCCCTCACACTGAGCAGACCACCCTTTAAGAGCCTTCTCTCGCCACGAAATAGTAGGATCATGGGTCATCAACCAGGGAAGCCCCAGTACCACCGGATACGCAGGTGAGTCGATCAGATAGAGTTGAATCGTCTCCTCATGACCCTCCTGCGTCATCATCCTAAGTGGCGCTGTGACCTCCCCAATCAACCCAGATCCTAACGGCCGACTATCTAGGGCATGTACAGGAAAGGGTTTTTCGACTGGAAGGAGGGGAATCCCTAACTTAACACAGAATCTCCGATCTACAAAATTCCCAGCTGCGCCTGAATCGACTAGCGCCTTATGCTGGGACCGAGGTGCAACCTGTGGGAAACAAACAGGTAAGGTAAGGTGTACGACAGAAAGCTCTGGGTAAGTAGGGCGCCTACTCACCTGGGTGGACTCCCCACTGTATGACCTGCTCTCTCCCTCACCAGGGGACCCTCCCCAGCACCTAGCCGCGGTGTGCCCTCCGCGCCCACACTTGGTGCAGGAGACTGCCCCCCTCGGGCTCCTACCTCTTCTCCCTCTAGCGCCAGCACCTCCAAGCTCCATCGGACACTGCTCGGAGGCGCTGGAGGGTGGAATAGGGGGCCCCCACCTGGAACGTCCGCGGGTCGCAAGCAGGTTGTCCAGACGAATGGCCATGTCCACCAGCTGGTCAAATGTTAGAGTAGTGTCCCTGCATGCTAACTCCCTGCGGACGTCCTCCCGAAGGCTACATCTGAAGTGGTCTATGAGGGCCCTCTCATTCCACCCAGCATCAGCCGCTAGAGTCCGGAACTCCAGCGCAAACTCTTGGGCGCTCCTCATCCCCTGTCGGAGGTGGAATAGACGTTCCCCCGCCGCCTTCCCTTCTGGTGGATGGTCGAAGACAGCACGGAAGCGGCGGGGAGAACTCCGAATAGGTGACTGTGGCGGCGTCTATTCCCTCCCCTCCATTCGGCGTTGGCCCCACTCCAACGCCTTGCCGGTGAGACAGGAGATGAGGGCGGAAACGCTCTCGTATCCCGAGGGCGCCGGGTGTATGGTGGCAAGGTAGAGCTCCACTTGTAAGAGGAACCCCTGACACCCGGCAGCGGTGCCGTCGTACGCCCTCGGGAGCGAGAGCCGAATCCCACTTGGTTCCGGTCGATGGACGGGCTGGCTGTCCGGTGGTGATGGTGCGATAGGTGGGGCTGTGGGAACCCCGCTGGTCTCCCATCGACGAAGGGTGTCCATGACGCCCTCCAAGGCGTGCCCGATCCGGTTGATCCGGTGCTCTTGACCAAGGAGACGCTCCTCCATGGTGTCGACGGGTGCTCCTGCTGATTCCATGTACGGGTGTGTAATTCTGTCACGATGCTGTGTAGGTGTGGTGTAGAATCAGGCGCAGGCAGCAGAGGATAAGTCCAACAAGACTTTACTTGAGCACACAAAATAAATCCAAAACAGCCCGGAGGCAAAAGGACGCACACAGGCGTAATAGCGAGCGCACACACAGGTGCGTAAAACTCTCCTAACACACAAGGAGGAAGCTATGGAAAATAGCGTACCGACAAGTGTAGCGCAACCATGACACGAACAATTACACACAACACTAACCTAACAACAAGGAAACTAAATAGGGTGCTAAATGAGACATAACACAAAACAGGTGTGACTAACAGACAAAACCAAACAAACAAGAAACATCGAGCGGTGGCAGCTAGAACTCCGGAGACGACGACCGGCGAAACCTGCCCGAACAAGGAGGAGGAGCCGCCTCGGCCGAAACCGTGACAGTTCTATGTTGTTGAGTTGCAAAATGCAAAAATTGTCTTCTTCTTCCTTTGATGGTGTGTCCAGATGCTATGGTCAAAAGTCAACCCATAAGCATTATCTATTTTTCTCTCTCTTTGCTCAGCCTCAGATAAACAGAAGTGGTCTGAGTTGAAAGAACCACTGAGAGAAGAACCAGTTGCAGACATAGACATATCTATCCATTCTTCTTTTAGATTAGCTACATCCTTGGTTTCAGTTACATTTACCTCTCTAACAATTGAAATTCCCTCCATTACCAACGTGGGATATGAGCCTTTAGACTAGAGGAAGTGTTTTGATAAATAGGAGTAAATATCAAGTTTGTAAACACATAACAATTCTCAAATCTATATATATATATTTTTTTTTTAACCTTTTAGCTACAAACACAGTTAAATGTGCTGCTTCAGTAAGCTGGTATCTGCAATATGCCCTGCTATTACAGGAACATGATTTGATGTCCTGTTTAGCACTCAATAGGTTTAGGTTTATTTGAACATATTGGTACATATGCAGAAACATACAGAAAATGTGATGTCATACACAAACAGGTCAAATATATAACTTGAAATGGTAAAAAATAAATGGTACATAGATTTCCCGGGTGGACGCGTACATCGACTCTAGTGGGTTTAAGAAATGCAGCAGCCATGACTGAAGCCAAACAAGAGTTATCTTGGGGGGTTGGTTTAATGTGGGTGTCTCTTGTGTGTGTGTTCGTACGTGGCAAGTGTTTGTACATTCACTCTTTCAAAACAGTACACAGTTACAGTCACTCACCTTTCTAGATAATTTGAAACAGTCTAACCAGGTCTTGCGTCTTGAAGTCGCCGAGGTTAGCTAGTGCTAGCCAACTTCTTTGGCCAATTAGCTTCAGCTGGCTGGTGTGCGACCGTGGCAAAATTTGGTTGATATTGGATAGATCATCTCTGGGGCTATTTAGGGACTGTCAAATAAATTACACAATGTAAATGGGACAATGTTTTCATGTTGCACATATTTTAGTTGTCTCATTAAATTCATTCAATATTTGTTTATGAATTTCTACAATGTATAGTTGGTTTGAGGTTTTTATCAAATGTCTTTAGTGATGGAGAATGTAATTTGCATAGTTTGAGAGCTCTTTTAGCCTTGATCTCCTCAGATAATACTGTCTCTGTGTAGCGGTTAAAGTTTTGCAGACGGCTTGTGTGATCGTTCAGGAGTACTTTGAAGGTCTTGGGAGTGAGTTGTAGGAAGTACCAATGATGCAACAGCAGCGTCTCTGAATGCCTTCTAAGTCCTTGGAGAGACAAGAGACTTGATTCCACTGATATGTCATGTTGACATGTTGACTATGTCACTTATTTCCATCCTGTAAACTATTTAGATAAAAGCAGGATGTACACAGAATTAGAGGAACGGGGAAAAAAAACATACTATTCATACTTCTCTACTGCTCCTGTAGCCAACTTCTCTATTTTCTGCAATAGTTCACTCACTCATCACACATTGAAGGCTAGAAAGCTCGAACCACAGATGAAATGGAGTTCCCTAGTTTCTTTCTAAGTATCTTTGCTAGAACCACTGTGCTGGGGTGGGCTATATCATCTGATCAGCACTATTGTTGGCTAGCTGAATCATCTAATAAGCTAGACTATACTGTCAAAACAAGCAAACTAGTCTTTACTTGATTAAATGGTACTCACGAACATTCGAACTGCAGTTGACCATTTCCCTGTCCCTGACGCTGAGAGAAAACCATTACCACTTTGAGGAAGTGATGCTATAGTGGTGAATAGAGATACTGCTGTATGGTGAGAAATGTGTAGAGCTGAGACACTCTGACAGAGGGGAGAGAGAGAGAGAGAGAGGACAATGGCTAACGTCCATCATTCATTTTTGGGACTGCTTGTGACTGTTTTGTACCTACTAACAGGTAAAACAGAGGAGAGAGAGAATAACAATACTATTTATTAAGAGATCATCACTCACATTCAAAACAGAAAACCATCGAACTGAGAAAAATATATATGCGGATGTTATGTTAACATTTCTGTTGTGTTTCTGTCTACCTTTATCTTCACTATTGTATAATAGTATATTACTCTATTCTTCAGAGAAGTACACCTGTGATTAATATTAAGTGACTCTGTGAAATATAATGTAATCTGTATTACCAGTAAATAATCATCTGATGCCATTCTCTTGTCAGGTGTCAGTGGAAACACTCTTTCTCTGTACTCCATTGTGGGAGGTGATGTCAGTCTGCCGTGTAACAATGTGATTTATCCAAACTGCTCCTCAACTATATGGAACTATGGATCTATTGAAGAAGTCCATCTTGGGAGGGTGAAAAAGGAAGAACTGAACAACAGAGCAGACAGACTGAGTTTAGGGTCTGACTGTTCTCTACATGTTAGTGATGTCAGAGCTGAGGATGCTGGAGTCTACATCTGTAGACAGTTCCTTACAGAGGGTGAACCACAACATGGAGGTGATGCTCATGTTCATCTGTCTGTTCTAACTAGTGAGTATTACTGTTTAAATCAGAGCTGTGCAAAAGTGTAGTGTTGATAGTCATATTAAACATGAGCAGTACATACTGAAAGATTATGCAAGTATGATTTTTTCTCTTTCTCAGTGTCCTCGTCCTCACCAGTCACAGATATAAAACCTGATAGACCAGTAACATTAAGGTGCTCTCTGCACACCCTCAATGGAACTGGCAGATGTGCCCCAGCCATTAACCAAGATGTTAGTCTGAGCTGGCAGAGGGTGGATGAGACAGATACTGGGCTGATTGAGGCAGGTACTAATCTGCAGGGAGACTCCAGATACCAGGTCACACAGCTGTCTCACTGTGACATCACTCTGAATATGACACTCCAGAGGGAGGACAACAACAGGAAGTGGAGGTGTCAGCTGACTGGAAAAGTGGAGACCTTCCTGGATTTCACTGTTACATTCCCAGGTAGACAATTTACTGATAGATATCCCATATTTCATCAATAAGTAGGCTACATCTATCACCCTAACCACCCCACCACCCTAACATACTGTACACTGGAGAAATAGGATCTGTTTCTGTATAGAATGTACATTTGTTTTTGTTTTTAGAGAGTACCCGTACTTTGATTCCTGCCAGTGCTCCACGGAACCCCCACAATGGTTAGAGTTTTTCCCCATAATGGTTAGAGTTTTTCTTTTTTCAGTTCATAAAAAAAAAACGTATTGCAATGTCTGACAGACTCAGTACTGGAATTGCTGGTCTTTCAGATAGAATAGCACTCTCTAGTGGTAGCAGTTGTGACGGGAGTCCCACAGAAAGGCTTTACTCTTCATAGTCAATCATTGAGAATCTGCATTTTATTGTCTTGTCACGCTTTGTCCCTTCATCAATGTTTCTACAATGATACTCCTGACTTCATGTTAGCTCACTGTAGTCACCCCTTTTCTAATGTGATGAACAGGCCCAAACCCTGCCCCATCTAGCCTCTCTCAAGAGGCTTGACTTCATGTTTTTCAGACAGTTCTGATAGAACAACTCTGATTCCTGTCAAGACAACCACCAGTACTCCACAGTTGTCTAAATCTGGTAGCGTAAAAACAGCCCCAAACATATTTATAGGAAGTACTGCTTGTCTAGTTCTCTACAGATTGGAGTGGAGAAAGATTTAGCAGATTGGTAGATTGTATGAGTGGTACAGCATTGGGCCAAAGTCAGATGTATTACCTTGGTCAATACACAGAGCATGCAACTAAACTTCCCTTTTAGTAATTTAGAAGACACTCTTATCCAGGGTGACATATAGGAGCAATTAGGGTTAAGTGCCTTGCTATTAACTATTTTCAGCTAGTCGGCTCAGGGATTCAAACCAGCAACCTTGGTTTACTGGCCCAATGCTCTTAACTGCTAGGCTACCTGCCTAGACTACCTACCTACCGCTAGGCTAACTTTCATGTTAAAGTTTTTGTGGTTCACACTCTGCTGGTCTATGATGCCAAATACCACTACTCCATGTTTAAGTTATTTAGTGGATGGTCTGAACAATCAAAGTAATCCATTAGGCTCGAATGGAAACGCTAAGCTAGATCTTTAGTGATCAGACAGAGGTGAATGTAACTGCAACCAATTATGTACATTGAATAAGTATGTCTATGCCTGCAACTGGTCCTTCTCTCAGTGGTTCTTTCAGCTCAGACCACTTCTGTTTTTCTAAGGCTGACCAGAGACGGAGAAAAATAGGTAATGGGTTGTCTTTTAATTTGACCACAGCATCTTACCTCACCCTAAAAAGAACATAGCTAGTCATTTCACACCTTCAAAAAGGATTTTGCAACAACAACACAGAAAGATACCGTGGGAACAGTGGCCTTTGGTGTTACTATGGGGACTGAGACATAGAGTGACTGTTTTTGGCTGGGGTTTGATGGATGTTAGTTTCCCGTGGCCATCATTCCATATCTCGTCTCATTGACTCCTGTCCGGTGCTAAACGGATGCAGGTTCATGTTCATGTTCTATTTTTAACTTAGAAAAAACAAGACTCCAAGTTATTTAGTGGATGGTCTGAACAATCAAAGTAATCCATTAGGCACGAATGAAAACGCTAAGCTAGATCTTTCGTGATCAGACAGAGGTGAAGTTGTAGAGGTGTTTGGCTAATGGATATTGGTCTTCAGTATCCTCTATTGACTGCTGTGTGATACAAACTTTACTTTCATATAAATCAATCTAAATGATTGTCTGTTTTTAATCACTGTCTGTCTCATTGTCCAGGTACCAGTAATGCTGTTAAGTTGCCCATCAGTCACATCATGCTCTTTGTGACTCTGACCGTCATGGCTGCCATAGTCACTATTCACACAACAAGAAGTAACTGCCCACCCAAGGCTCTGCACCCACAAGCAGGTGAGAGTCACAGGCATTGGTCTAGTTCCATTTAGGTTCTTAACTCCTCCCACAACATCAGTGTTCACAGATCTGAAAAGACTGGATAGACCTAAACATTATGAATGGTTCCATCAATCCATAGAACATATGGAGCATACAACAAATTACATTCACATATTCTGATCTTCAGATGTGTGAACTGAAATGGAATCAGGTCATAAATAGTCCTTTGACATAATCATCTTGTCCATCTAAACCCCTATTAATTATTTCATCTTTACAGTCTGCTATAGAATGAATGGTGAGACATGTTGTCTGATGTGTGTGTTGTTGTTTTGTTCTCTGTATAGAAGAAGCCTCTGGTATTGAGCTTCAGGTCCTGGAGGAATGACCCCTTGTTCTTCACTCTTCTCACTGTGCTGGACCAAGACATTCAAACTGTCTGTAGGTTTATTGATTGAGTAACAGAGGATATTATACATGTTTTCTAAAGCTGATATCTATGATAGAGTAGAGTGTGTTGGAAGATGTATTAATAGTTGTATTCTAATATTTTAGTATCTTTAGTATCTATTTTACACGTCTTTTTGTTTATTTATGTTTATTGCATGCAGTAGGGGTGCAGACATCAATTAAGCAAAGCATGGCTGATGTGTGAATGATACGTTTGTTTTTTATTTTCTGTCCATTGTGAATGAAGTCAGCATAGAGAAATTCTAATTTACTTTATCAATATTTTTTTTCCCTAATCCAATTTTTTAATGAGCACAATGTCTTTTATAAAATTTTAATGAATTTCTGAAACTGTTTTTAAATAAACTAATACAAATTAAATATATCTAACTCATTGTCAGTACAGTACAGGTGTGTTTTTTTTTACTATACACTTCCACAATATATGGTAAAGCATGAATGCAATGACCTTATTTTATTTACAACCTTCTTCTAGTCAGCAGCGCAGGTAGGTAGGCTACGTCAGTCCTCCTAGATAAAGCATCTGACTGTCAGAGGTTTTTCTGTAGACCTACTCTGACTTTATATGACAAACTCAAATGTGATTGGAATTTTAAGCACTTGAAACCCTAGTTTACAGTAGCCTACACAGTTTTTAGTTCTTCTCATTGACATTGCAAATAAAAGGACTGTAGCCTACAGCCTTACTTTGAAATGACATCACAGACTAGTCCCTTTTTCACGTTTACCTGCAGCTGAGCTTCACGCCGGGCGGGGTGGAGCGTTCCTGGCCGCTGGAGGGCTTCCAAAACAAATCAAAAAAGGAACTCAGTGTCTCAACTTAATGTTGAGAGTTAGAATAGTAGAAAACACAAGGTGCAAGTTTGAAATGTGCCTGTTTATCAGCTGTTTTTCTCTTGTTTTGTTAGTCACCGACAGTCACTAAATTAGCCATGTCAGCTAACCATTTTTAGATTGGTAAGTTAGTTTAGCCAGTTATCTAAACTTGTAATAATCATGTCCAAATCACGACCGGCAACACAGGGCACATGCTCAGGGGTCCTGGGTCCTGACCTCCAGGGGGCTTGTATTGATTTTGTTAGTCATTCTTACTCAGATATCATTAACATGGCAAAAGTCATGGCAAAATGTAAAGAATTGCAAGAAATATCTTTAAAACTGCAAACATGTCTCTCTTCCCCATGGCAAAATGAGTATAATCTCATGACATTTTTTTATAAAATTGCAACATCTTGTCTCCGCCCCATGACAAAATGTTTAGAACTGCCAATTAATGTCGTTTAAAACTGCAACATTCCCTCTACACCCATGGCAAAATGTGTAGAATTGCAGGAAATCTCTCCACCTCCAAGAGGGGGGCCACTAAACATTTGTGCCTGCTTGGTGGGGGCCCCCCCAACCAAATCACCCAATAGGCTGGAGCCGTCCCTGGCTGCAGCGTAGCCTTCGCAAGACATCAAAAACCACGATTTTTCGTATTTTTGTATTTTCAGAATAAATATTCTGCTTCATTGTGGAAACCGATTCTCAGTAGAACAAATCAAAAAGAGAATCATTTTTATTTTTTTATTTCACCTTTATTTAACCAGGTAAGCCAGTTGAGAACAAGTTCTCATTTACAACTGCGACCTGGCCAAGATAAAGCAAAGCAGTGCGATAAAAACAACAACACAGAGTTACACAGAGTTAAAACAAAACATACAGTCAATAACACAATAGAAAATCTATATATCAATATGGAAAGAGCGAACTACGATATAGCCTAGCTACCAGGTAGTCTATTTCACATTTGAGAATTATCCTGCCTCCTACTTACAAAGACAGTAAATGACAGAATAACCCCCCAATTAGGCAATACAATGTTGTTGTACTCTGTGAAACTCTGGAGTGAATGAAAATGAAACATTCAGATCTGATTTATTTCCATTTTATTAACTCACTTTAGTCAATATAATTTTAAACATGATTAATGCAGGAAAAAAAATGCCATGAGTTTGTTATCAGCAGAGCTAAAATATGTTTGTCTAAGAAGCTGCTATTGTGCTACATACTAAAAGAAAACATAACACCAGTGTTCTACCTTATCCATCTAGTAATCATAATTAAAAACACATCTTAGTGTCCTGTATGATCCAGCAGTTCTCTTCACATGTACAGCCTCGGTTACCAAAGTCAGCATGGGCTCTAATCCCAACCATGCCCTTCTGACTCGCAAACTCTCCTACCTTCACTGCCCTAACTCACTGTCCTATCTCAATGAAATAAATAAAACCCTTAATATATACTGTATATATAATAGTGAAGACATCAAAACTATGAAATAACACATACAGTTGAAGTCGGAAGTTTACATATACTTTTTCAACCACTCCACAAATTTCTTGTTAACAAACTATAGTTTTGGCAAGTCGGTTAGGACATCTACTTTGTGCATGACACAAGTAATTTTTCCACAATTGTTTACAGACAGATCTTTTCACTAATAATTCACTGTATCACAATTCCAGTGGTTCAGAAGTTTACATACACTAAGTTGACTGTGCCTTTAAACAGCTTGGAAAATTCCAGAAAATGATGTCATGGCTTTAGAAGCTTCTGATAGGCTAATTGACATAATTTGAGTCAATTGGAGGTGTACCTGTGGATGTATTTCAAGGCCTACCTTCAAACTCAGTGCCTCTTTGCTTGACATCATGGGAAAATCAAAAGAAATCAACCAAGACCTCAGAAAAAAATGTGTAGACCTCCACAAGTCTGGTTCATCCTTGGGAGCAATTTCCAAACGCCTGAAGGTACCACGTTCATCTGTACAAACAATAGTATGCAAGTATAAACACCATGGGACCACGCAGCCGTCATACCGCTCAGGAAGGAGACACATTCTGTCTCCTAGAGATGAACGTACTTTGGTGCGAAAAGTGCAAATCAATCCCAGAACAACAGCAAAGGACCTTGTGAAGATGCTGGAGGAAATGGGTACAAAATTATCTATAACCACAGTAAAACGAGTCCTATATCAACATAACCTGAAAGGCCGCTCAGCAAGAAAGAAGCCACTGCTCCAAAACCGCCATAAAAAAACAATACTACAGTTTGCAACTGCACATGGGGACAAAGATCGTACTTTTTGGAGAAATGTCCTCTGGTCTGATCAAACAAAAATATAACTGTTTGGCCATAATGACCATCAACTGTTCCTGAACCAAATAGAGTAGCTGGCCAGCATTCACAAGATATTTGGTTCTGGGTGCTGAGATTAGGCTGTGAAAGACTGAGTGTAGTCTTCATGTTGATGTCTTGGCTGTGGAGTAGAGCTGGGGTCAGCAGGGTTCTCTGTCTCTCTGGTAGAAGAGGGCATAACAGAGGAATAGGTCACTGCATCTTCATCCTGGACCTACAGTGACAACACACACACACGCACACACACATATTAGTTTTACTATCGTTGTGGGGACTTATTTTCCCTAACCCTAACCTTAACTCTAACCCCTCACCCCTAACCCTAACCCTAAAATAGCCTCTTTCCTTGTGGGGACTGGCAAAAAGTCCCCATTTGTCCAAATTGTCCTTGTTTTACTATCCTTGTGAGGACTTCTGGTCTCCACAAGGAGAGTAAAACAAAAAATACACACACAACAGGGCGCCAGAATGAATCAGTTGGATGGGCATTTGATTTCTATAGGTGGGCCAGTTTTTTTCACAGGACCTCCTGTGTGGACGTCCTTGGGTGTTATAATAAAGACCATAGGCAGCTCATGAGTTTCAAGTTTGGGGACGCTTACAATTTATTCTACCATGTCTACCTATCTGCATGCCAGTTAGGATTATTTTTATCAGCGCATTTTCACGGAACAGTTTAATTTCAAAAGTAGTGTTTTAGTTTCTTAAAAGTATTGTCATGTGGTTAATCACACAAATCTGAATTAAAATGATAAAAATCTAAAAGTAAAAATTCAACTAATGCAAGAGCATTACCATATGGACACATATATACACTGTGATCCATTGCTGCAAATACAATTATTGCACATGGTACTCAGAAATAGCCTATAAGCCAATGCAGCAGTAAGCCTATAACTTCCATCATCAACTAAGTCAAAATATGTATGCCTAAAGCTGAGAAATTAAAACAGCAGAAAATATCCTGATGAAAATGCAGGTTCTTTCAATCGCAATAATCTCTCTACTCACCTGTCTGTCTTGACTTGAGCTATCTCTAGTGAAGTGCAACATTGTATCAACTAAGCATGTTGGCATGCTCAGGCACTCGCTCCCTCAATATTATCAGGACAGAGAAACCACACAAAATGTATAAACCTCCTAAATTATGGTTATGAAATAAACCAGTACTTGTTTCTCACAAGTGTAGCAGGTCGTGAACTCTGCAAACAATGTTTCCACTCTGAGAATGAGAATGGTAAATTACTAATGCATTAACAGTAATTAATGTAAGCAGATGATGGGGATCAACAGTACATTTACTATGCTTACTGGTTACACACAGTGCATTCGGAAAGTATTCAGACCCCTTGACTTTTTCCACATTTTGTTACGTTACAGCCTTATTCTTAAATGGATTCAATCGTTTTTTCCCCCTCATTAATCTACACACAATACCCCATAATGACAAAGCAAAAACAGGTTTTTCATTTACATAAGTATTCAGACCCTTTACTCAGTACTTTGTTGAAGCACCTTCTTGGGTATGATGCTATAAGCTTGCCACAACTGTATTTGGGGAGTCTCTCCAATTCTTCTCTGCAGATCCTCTCAAGCTCTGTCAGGTTGGAAGGGGAGCATCGCTGAACAGCTATTTTCAGATCTCTCCAGAGATGTTCGATCGGGTTCAAGTCCGGGCTCTGGCTGGGCCACTCAAGGACATTCAGAGACTTGTCCCGAAGCCACTCCTGTGTT